CTAAACCCTAAACCCTAAACCCTAAACCCTAAACCCTAAACCCTAAACCCTAAACCCTAAACCCTAAACCCTAAACCCTAAATTTTTATGGTTGGTGCAAGGCAGGACTTTCCTATTCAAGAAAACAATTTTCTTTCTTTTTTTTGAGTCTTTTTAGTTGTACATCTAATTGAAGCAAATGGTTTCTTTTTTTTTTCCCTCTCTGATTATCTTTGATATGGGTCTGTTTAGTTTCTTAGAAAATGCAAGAAAGAGTTGTCTTTTTAAAGAATTTAGTGAAATAAGAAAAAATGAGTTGAGCCTGTGGATGTCTAGAAAATTGTTTTCTTAAGAGGAAATTCTGTTTTTGCCCAATGGGTAGTTTCTCAACTAATTTTTTCTGGGTATTTGAGCAGTACAAGACCAAGGATCACAGTGCCCCGGTTCCAGTTGTTCTTGTGTTCAATTATGTAAGTGTTTTGATTTGGACTTTTGGGTTTAGTTTATGAATTTCCTTCAGAATTGCTATGAATGCTGAAAAATACAAGGAAATTAACATTAATAGTATGTTTGGATTGAGGGAAGAGGAGGGAAAAGTTTTTTAATCAATCAAATTATAACGTTTTAACCCAAACAAACGGCTATCTTCTGCAGGGTGACTGCAAACCAGGTGTTTTTCGTTCTTGGACTCGAGTATTTAACCGCAACAATTGCCAGTGCACTGAACAACCTTGTCCCTGCAGTCACTCTTGTCCTTGCAGTCTTTGGGAGGTGCTCGAAATATGTACCTAAGGCCTTTCAGTAACATCTATAGTTTGCACTCTTGTACGACTAGATCAAGGCCTTAATGGATTTTATTTTTATTCTCTGGTTTTACTAGGTTAGAAAATGTGGGAATAAGAACGGTAGGAGGGTTGGCAAAGGTGATAGGAACCATCGTATGTGTTGGTGGATCTACGTTGCTGTCTTTTTACCATGGACGCATCATTGGCATAACAGAATCCAGCATTCATTGGAGATATGCCGAGAAAATGAATGAATCAAGTTCCAACAACGGAACAAACTTCCTGGGTCCATTTCTAATCACGATCAGCTGTGTCGCTTGGGCTGTTGGGTTCATAATCCAGGTCCATGCTTGACCTCAAAACACTTAATTTCATTCACTTTTACTTCGTCCATTAAATAAGTTGTTTCAATCTTTCAGGTACGACTAGGGAAGAATTTTCTGGCAGCTTACACAACTGCAGTCATGAGTTTCTTAACAAGCATTGAGTGCACTGCCATTGCTTTCATTTCTGAACATA